TTGATTCATCCAAATTGGTTTGGTACATCAAAAGTTATGGTCAAAAATGTGTAAAACTCTTAATGTTAACAGTATCTAACTTGTACTTTTTTTTATCTAGTATTTCTATTACTAATTCAATTACTTTTAAAATTTTTATTTCAAATAAAGTTACTAACAAATATATATCTATTTCTTATCATAATTACTTATATCAACAATTACCTTTTTATACTGATGATTTGTAATTGATATTAGTACTAACTAATGCATAATAAGTATCAATTAAATTTAAGTTAATAATAATAATCAACTATTAATTTCTTTTCTACTAAAATACAATTCTAGGTATTATTATACAAAGCTAAGTTTTTTTAAATTATTACTACAATTTTAACAACTTCTTACAATTTAGTAGTTAATATTTTTACTAATTTTTAATCAGTAATTTCTAAATTTAATAATCATTTTAACAAACTATTCAAATTTAACTTGTGACCTATTTGATAAATTCTTTAAATATTATTAAATTATACAAATTACAAATTATCTTCTACAAAATATAGGCTTATTTAAATAATTATTTTAATAGACAAACAGATTCTTTAGTCAAATAATATTTATTATCATCACTTATCTTATTTAGTTATATAAATTTCTATAACTCTTATCATATTATTCAGTAAAAACAACATTATACAAAACTTTTTACAAGATACTTTATTAAGCAAATCTGTAAAGCTTATATTTTAGCTATATAGGCATTAAAAAAATGCAATAGCAAATAGTTATACTTTAATCAAAATCTTGATTAAAGATTTATTTAGTTTTATTTTAATTATAACTAAAAACTTTTATGCAACATTACTAATTTTAGACTCAACTAACTAAAGTCTTTCAAAATTAAAATTCTTTTTAATGAGTTGCCAATATACTTACTATTTTATTCTATTTACTTAAACTAATATATAGACACTACTTGTTTTTATTATAACTCATTTAATTTTTATTTCTACTAGCATATTTATAATAATTTAATTTTGCTCAATCAAATTATTTAAACCTTTACTAATCAAATTATTTCTAACAACTTATCTAATTTTAATGCTAATCAAAAATCTAATTAATAAAATTCTTAATTACCTAACTCTTAATTCTCTATATATACTATCTAACATATTTTATTCTAAATTCATTCTCAAAGGACTTATCTCAAAGTTACTTATATATATTAATAATTCAAAACTCTAATATCTTATATAAAACTGATTTTCAAGTTATTATTAATATTTTTCTTAATATTAATCAACAATTATATAAATAATTATGAAAAACATATTGCATTTATTTTTCTAACTAAAAAAAGCAACAATATATATCTTAATTTTAACTTATTAACAAACTTTTAACATTATCTAATTTAGCTATTAGATATATATACTCTTAAAGAAATTATACTTATGTTTTTATAAACTTTCTAATTAATTATATACTTACTTCAACATATGTTCTTCTATTGGCCAAGCAATTTGCAAAATTAACATTTAATTCATTTTATAAATTAAATATAGCATATTATCAAAATTATATACTAAACATCTAAATCTAGATGAGCTTTGTTTATTCTAGTAGGTTTAGATTGCAGATTATTATTCTAAACTTTTATTCTTACATGTAATTTTCAATTTATTTTTTTGTACAAATAGTAATAACTGTATAGTTAGCAGTTTAATAGTTAGTTCTAATTGCAAATATTAGCTCTAAATATATAACTATTTTAAATTACTAATAAAGATATAGGCAAGGCCTTACCTTAATACAAAAAATTATTAAATTAGTATTAATTAAACTTTGAATATAATTTATTATATATATTTATTTCTTGTTTAGCTTAACTATATTGTATAGCTATCTTATTTAATACTATTACTTAAAAATACATATTCAGATTAATATAACATAATCAAAATAGTATTAAAATTATAGATTACAAGGTTTAAACTATAGATAGATTGTCAATATTATTTAATTTAAAACAAATAACATAATATGATGTAACTTTAACTAAAATTTGTTTAAAATATATTTTAAACTAATAATTTGATGTAGTTCTAACTATATAATCTATAAAATTAGTAATAATTCTAGTTGTATTAGATGAATATTACTAACAAACTACAATATGATATTTAAAATTAATTGAATAATTAGAGTTTATATTTTCTTTAAACAATTAAATAAAAAATATATTTAATTAAAACTATATATAAATTATGTTGCCAAATTAATTATTGCTTTAATAATTATATTATATAATGATTATAACAATTGCTATCAAAATTATAATGTAATGTTATAAACAAAATGTCAAATGTTAATTTCAATTATTTTAATCTTAGAGATCCAAATAAACAAACTTTTTTATTTTAAAGCTCATTGATTCTTTACAAAATAAAAAAAAATTATACTAAATTCATAATTGAATGTTAAGATAATTGAGATATATAATTATAAATAAAATTTGTATATTATGTTAAATTATTTAAATTATCTTAGTAACTAATGATTGGATTTTAATAATTTTTTTATTTTATAGAAAAAAATATAGATCTATTAAATAAAACAAATTATTTATTTTAAATTAATAATTATAGAGTAAATTAGGTTAAAAGTTTGAACTATAAATATTTGGTCTTATTAATTTTTTAGTTAATTATTAATTAGAATTGTATAAAAAGTATATAGCAGATAGAAAACTATTTCTTTTATAAAATAATAAAATTTCATTAAAACTAAACTGATAGTTATTAAAATATTTATACAAAACCATAATTATTTTTTAAATCTATCAAAATTCTATCAGTAAAGTCAAATAATTTGTTAATTATGCAAGTATGCAATCTAAAAATAATATGATATAATTATCAAGGAATAAGAATTCATATAAGCAAATTAAAACATAAGTTAATTAGTAATGTTTTGAGCTATAAACCAAGTTCTTAGATGTGGAAAAAGTTTTGTCACCCCCTGTAGATAAACATAAGCAGTTATTAGAAAAATTAGAGATAGATAGATTTCACCTTGGAATTATTTAACTTAAACATAATTTCTATCTTTTATGTAAATTTGTTGTTTTGTGTCATTATTATACACCAATTTTATGTCAATGGAAATTAAAAAATCGGGTCGAACACAAATAAATACTCAATGCAATAGAGTGTAATTCATATTTTTGTTATCATTTTAAAGGTTTTATATTTCAGAAACACAAGAAACATTGGAAATGATTACTTTAAGTGGTTTTTAAATTTCAAAAGAAGATAATTACTGTCCAAAATTACTATTACTATTGTAAAAGCTCTGTAAAATCTTATATCAACACTAATTCAACATTATACAATTTTTCATTGTACATTCTTTAAGGACTCTAAATGCCTTTCAGCTAATACAGAATTCTTTTTACCCATGAATTCGACCTTAATGTCTTTAAATGGAGCTTGAAAAGATATAGTATAAGATGAATTAGGATCATTAATAACAATTACCGTTTTCAACCACTCAAAGAATTGATTTGCAAAATTTAAACAGACGGTCGCATTCTGGTATTAAAATTTTGAATTAAAATATATAGAATATTTTTTTTTTTTTTTACAAATAATTGTATTTTTATTATACATACCCACATCCCATTTTTTCCTTTAACGATTTTAGGAATATCCATAGTTTTAAATTCTTGAACTTTTATAACACAACCTTCATTATCACGGAATCCAACAATGATCTTAGGAATACCGATCAAAAATGATTGAGCCCAAAACTTTAAAAGTTTGTATCTTTGTATACAAAAATGTATGAATTAGATGTTTGTGCAATACAATAAAATAAACATATAAATAATTTATTTACCTTTCGAAATTAAAAGTATCTTTATCCTTTTCAATAACTTTGGAAGTTTTTAACTCTATATATTTTTCTACAGGGTTCACTGGCCTTTTTGGTTTAGCATCTTATTTTTTTTACATTTGAAATCAAAAAAAAAAAATTTCAGAAAATTAATATATCATTAATGATTATTGAGTCAATCACTTACCACAAAGACAATCAACTTCAGCACCCATAATTAACTTATTATTTCCCAATGATGTCTTAGCTACTGAACAATATTGAACATTTGTATTTACAATTGTGGTCTTTCGATTAATTAATTCCGGATCATCTGAGGATGTGATTTCAGATGGTAATTTGGAGATAGTGCATAAATTTTCAAATTTATATCCCCAATAACACATTAATTTTTGTCTTGGTGTAGACCCGCTTGAATGTTCTTTAGTATAATCTGTGTCATGTTCTTCTATGAAGCTAAATTACAAGTAAATCATTTTTAATAACATAAACTTTAAATATGAAATTTAATCTAGGAATTTAACTTACATTGTGTTCTAAACATTATGAAATGGCGTTAAAAAAAATTTAATCCTAAAATTATTTAAAAAATCCATCTATTAAATTTAAGCATACATTCCATAAAGTAGCACCTAATTCCCAAGGTTCATTCCTATTATATGGTGTACATAAGATTTTCGTAAAAATTCCACGCCAAGAGACCTAATTCAATGAAATATTAATGACAAAATTTTTGATTATGATGCTTATAATTGAAATAAAATAACCTACTAAATCTGTTTGAACTAAATTCTTATCTGCAGATCGTTTTTGAGTATGAGCTAATGCATCTAATAAAGAATGTATTGGTTCTGGACCACTTTGTTCTCTTTGTACAAATGTTTCATATCCATGAGACAAATCACAATTTTTTAGATCAGGCGGATAGTAATATTTCTTCAAAATTATTGAAATATAGTTAATATTTAATTAATTACAAAATTCAATATTTTTTTAAAATTACCAATTCTCTATCATCCATATGCAAATTACGCTCATTATCATAGCTAAAGCTCATAATTTCAACTGGTTGTTTATATGTTGAGCAAGGACCATTAAATCTTGCTAACGGATGGATTGAAAACTGATTTTGATCTTGAGTATCAGCTTTCGTTCTTTTTTGTGGATAATCTGTAACATTTGGAAGAGCACGTTTTAAAGCCTTATTAGATTGGGACATTTTCATAAAAAATAATTTAAGGAAAAGAATCGAATCAATTGTGGCGGTTTCATTTGAGTTTAAGTACGTACACACACATAGCGTATGACGATCTTATGCAATGAAGTCTGATATAGTTACACCGCACAATTTGGAGTCATACAATTATTTTCGTTGTGAGACAGAAAATTGGGTCCCCCAGGATATTATTGGTCGACGATCTTTAATAATGTGATGCATCTACAGCAAATCAGAGTGTAACATAAAATTAAAGAAACAATCGCTTGTTTTTGAAAAGACTCATTTATCTCAAAATTATGCCTAAAAAATCGCCTTTTGTGTTTGCTAACAAAAAATTCCTTGCAAGATTTTGTTACAATATCGTTTATTAATTCTGACATTGAACTTAATTTTTTAAGGAAAAATGACATGTAATTTGGTGCGAATAATTCCAGCCAATAGGAGCTTGGGGAAAATTAGTATATCGATCTTTGTTCATTAACTAAAAACTCTAAATGCAGGGAAAAAAAATTAATATGTTTCATCAGAAAGTAGATTTTTGTAGAATTTTTATGTAAAGTATAATTAAAAATTATACTTAAATTTACAAATCCAATGTAGACTTAATGACCATAAGTTTTATATAAATAAATATATATTGTGAGCCCGATTTTCGGGATCACGGGTTCCCGAATCAGGGTGACGATCCTTACCCGATCCAAGGTCACGCGAAAAGTAACAGAAATGTTACTTATGGCACTTATG